AAAAGCTTTCATACAGAGATTCCATCATTCATCTGTCATGAATAGCTGTTTGTTACTGTTGCGGAGTCAATAGATATTGAGTATGAAATTTTACTTGGCATAACCTTGCAATTGGTATTGTTAAGGTAATAGATCTACCAAGTTAAGAATATTGTAGCAAAACCCAAGTAACAACAAGAACAACGTATGCATTTAACTCGTCCTACAATTCCCAACAAACGACTGAATTCAGTGTAAAGTATCAAAGTCAAAGAAAAAGATTTTTCTGAGAAAAGAGTTACTTAATTTTTGAGGTATTTAATACAATAATAACACTTCAAGGCACGATAAAACAGAATGTAGGTCGATAAGTTATTGACAGAATGAAGCCATGTCAAATCAGTAATGGTAGTTAACAAAATTAAAATAAGTACTATGGAATACCAAATATGAAAGTCGTTATGAATAAACTGATTTTCAGTGAACACCAAATGAATTAAAGATAAACTAGTATAAATAATCAAAGAAAGCAACTATAAAAATAAAATGGATAAACTGTCAAAAATATATGGGAATATCTCAAATCACAATAAGAGGTATTACCAGCTAATCATTCCTAAGTAATGACCATAGCACAAGTTGTTGAATGGAAGTAATATAATCAACACACACACACACACACACTAAAACGAAACATTCGGAAAAAGAATCGGAAATTCCAAAACAAATGAAAAACATTAGAAATTTGAATGACCTTCATTCATAAAATCGTAAACTTACAATATAGTGAATAATCATAATAAAAGTAGTTGGGGGTGAAAAAATACTTAAACTATCATCTGCATATTGTTTGTTTAACCAGTCAGTTGTGGATACACAAATATATTCACCTAAGCATAAAGCCTTTGTTATGAGGAAGAAATATTGCAAATACGTTTCTCAATTAAGTGTTCAGTCTGATTAATACTTTCATGAATATATTGTTTATTAAATGTTAATGGATAAGCTGTTCTGTGTGATATCAGGATTAATTACGTTAAGAACTCAAACAACGTTTGCTAAATTTTTGTTGTCTTTAAATAGATCGGTACAATTATGAAGTATAGGAATGAGAGTTAAAATATGCTTCAATGGATACCACTTAAGCTTCTTTTAGCCGTGTATATTTAATATCTAGTGGTTATTGATTCATAATGAGAACAGTATCGTAATAACTGGTTGGTAGATATAGAAACCTTTATATTTTTTTCAGTCACGCTCCATAGTACTTAAACGAGAATCACTCACTGAATATCAGTACATTCAGCATTTTCGGCGGACAGTTAAGTTTAATACATAGACGGGTGGCATACGTCTAATTGAGTTTATACAGGCTAAGCGAATTATTTACTGACCACTAGAGATCCGATATCTCTAACTTACTGAATTTAAATAGGTTAAAAATGACCGGCGTAAACGTTTCGTATGTGACTGAACTGAATCAAGTGAACGACGAAATAGGTAAACTGATTTGCATCAGAAGTTCACTTAAACCAAAGAATATTTCTTTGAATAACTCAATAGTCATCATATTTGATTTATCAAATAAGATGTCGTGTATCTTCCTGCTACAGTAAATGATATATATACTCGCCTCTCTTTGTAGTTTAAGAAGCCTTTTTGTATCATTTTGATATTTCATGCCTCATATAACGTTTGGTTACTGAGAATAAACTGCCACAACTTAAGAGTAAATCGTTAAATTTTATAACATTTTGAATAATCTTCGTTGGAAAATTATTAAATTATCGGATGTTAATTATGTGCTTTTGTTCTTTCTGTTTATCCTCTCCGTATGAAATAGCCTTGTTTGCTCTTTTAAAGAAATTTGGGTCTACATAGATTTTCTCAACGAACAGATGTGCTGAATTAAAACCAATATAACGGCTCAAATGTGTTTGTTTTCGGTAGATATTTATATTAAGAGATCCACTTAAATTTCTTTTAGCAAAGTAATCTAAAAGTGATAGCTCACCATGATCAATTTCATCCTTGAGAGTAAATTTAACTTAGAATGAGAGTGTCTTGACCAGTTTAGGAAAAGTTCGTAACAGATTCTCTCATCCACATCCACATATCTGAGCCAAATTCATGGTTTGTAAAACGTCCCGTTGAAGGTAGATAAAGTTGGATCTAAGCATAGATTTGGGGATTTCACTAATAAACTGATGCTTAAAGGAGATCTGCCAGATAAGGTATGATCATTCTCTAGAAAACCATTAGTAAAATCAAGACATTTATCAATGGATATACTAGTATAAAAATATACAACATCATAGCTTAACACGATTCTATTCCTTTGAAAAATTAATTCCTATATTTTGACTTTAAGTCAAAGGCATCCCAAGTTTACTAGTTAATGTCAGTAAATATACGCTCAAGAACATTGCTTAATATATGTATTTGAGATAATATATTATTCAATCTGGAAAAGTAGGTAGAGAGCACATAGTTAATAGTAAAACCCATCAATGATGAAAAATACGACATGTAATTATGCTATAATAGTTGACCTGAGACTTTATGCTATATGTTTATGGAATCGAAAGTAGGCTCTTCTTTCTGCTCCACCAATGCACCTACTTTGGCAGGTGCATGCAAATTTCTGTACTCAGTTGGTCAAATCATGAAAGGGGGACCTGTGGATTTTTAACTAGAGTAAAGAACATATCATTATACAAGATCACCGTATAGAAATCGTGGTTGAACACTGTTGAGGAATCCCATAATAGGACGAGAAAACCAGCCAATACAACCTGGTTTTCAGTGCCGGTCTATCTAAGATTAGTTTGGAATTTTAATTATGATAATGTAATTATGTTGAATATATAATGACTTGAATTGCCTACGCTAATGAAGCGCTGTAAATATAATGTTTGGCAATATTTGAAATAACGCTTTTCTAATTAGATTAAGAAAACAAATATAGTAAATTTATGATGAAGGTCGCTCAAGACATAGAAACATTGTATTAAACACAATACATCTGTCATTTAATTCACAGGAATGCAAATTAATAAGGCGTGAACTCATTAGTCGAATAATGATTTGGAAAATTGTAAAACAAAAGTAATGCAGACTTAAAGTTACCACATAAGTTCACTCCTCATTAATTTGCATTCCTGTGAATTAAATGACAGATGTATTGTGTTTAATACAATGTTTCTATGTCTTGAGCGACCTTCATCATAAATTTACTATATTTGTTTTCTTAATCTAATTAGAAAAGCGTTATTTCAAATATTGCCAAACATTATATTTACAGCGCTTCATTAGCGTAGGCAATTCAAGTCATTATATATTCAACATAATTACATTATCATAATTAAAATTCCAAACTAATCTTAGATAGACCGGCACTGAAAACCAGGTTGTATTGGCTGGTTTTCTCGTCCTATTATGGGATTCCTCAACAGTGTTCAACCACGATTTCTTCACGATTAGATCGAGATGTGAACACACTTGTCGTTATTCACCGTGAAACTTGACGTTCTTATAGTTTGTTTTAGTTTTGAATACATCCAATATCTTTGTCACGAACTTGCATAAGCCGATTAATTTCTCTGTGCTCATTTCTTGTTGTTTCGGGACGGTTCCAGGTATATGGTAATGTACAACAAGCAGTAGTCTATTCACTACTGTACTAATTTTAGTCAGTTTGATAGTTATTTGTGGTTTTGCGTATCTTGCAGTCTAAGTGAGTGAGTTCTTCTCAGGATAGTTGGGGTCCTGGATACCAGCACCTATCATTAACAGTCTGAAAATTGATTGTTTGTATTGTGAAAGTTATAAAGCGATAATTTGAGTGCTAAGAGAAGACAGTTACTCTAAGAATTAAAAACAAGTTAATTGATTGGTAATGTGTAAGAATTGCAAGAATAATATGTGAAACGGAGATGGTAATAAGCGGGATAAGTAGTTACTGATATGAGGTAATGATAACCGTGATAATTTGTGAGAGATGCCAAAGTAGGTAGATTAGCAGAATAGAAAGAAGGATAAACTTTTGATTCCACCAACATATCTCATAAAGCTGTAGTGGCTTAGCTTCGTTAATCAATCACCTTGATAACCGTTATTATGTAAATTCCAACGCTGTTTGAAATCATAAGACTATAAGAACCAGCGACTATAGTTTATTGGCAAACAGCACGGATAAAAAAAAGCTACAAGCAAATGGAGAGAACTTGAAGCAGAGAGGCGAATATGTGTTGCGAGCGAATACAGAGGCAAATTCATAGTCAAATCCAATCAAAGTGCAGCTAGGCTAGGTAAAGGCTAATAATAAGATTCGAGTACATATATACATGTGAAAGAGAATGACTCATCGAGAGATATTTAAGATATTAACATTTTAGTTAGAGAGAGATATGTGCGTAGGCTGTCACATATAATCATAATAGTACAAAGAAATTTGAGAATCGTTACTGTTCGGATAACATTGTCTGTTAAATAAGTTAATACAATGTCCTAGCAAAATCTAAACATAATCGAAAACGAGTGTAAGAGACTTGCTATAATGTCTTGGGTTAATGGGATTAAATGCTTTGAGAAGTGCTGTTGAGGAACATCTCTGTGACACAGGGTATCAAGGTGATAAACTGATATCTTTCACCATCATCTATCAACAGTCAAATTCCATTCCTCACAAATTTGCCCAAACTATAGCCATCAAACTACTAGAGCCCGACTTATGTATCCAAAAGGAAACAGTTCCAAATTTTTCCTTACCATTTTTCATTGTAATGATTGCTAACTGGACATTTGCGATCTATAACATCACAAACATTTATACAAAGTAGGATTAGACGATGACAACAGCAACAACAGAAGTATTATGAAAATGAATAGCAAACAAATTGCAATACCTTAACAATGTGACAGGAACACCTTTTGCCTAAGATAAATTATGAAATTACTACTTCACATCTGTGTGGAATGATGTGCATCTGATTGCATTGATTATTATTTTTTTCAAGACTTATCGACCAATCTATACATGGTACAGTTATAAAGTAAACAACATATTTTTCTAACATTCTTTATAGAAAACTTTATTATTTGACCTTAGTAGTCATCAAAAATAGAATACTATAATAATTAGTAAAGTGGTCAGTAATAATCTTGTTAATTAATTTTCATTATACACAGTATATAAAAGGATAGTCTATGTCTAAAAGATTGTTATATCTACGATAGACAGTCACAAAATTCTCTCTGTTTCACTTATCATCTTCCACAAGCAAGGAGTGCAGAATGAAACAGATTTACACTGGTGAGATTATTTCATGAGACTACATTGTTTTGTTCTTTTTATGCGTTAATACACTTTCAATGGTCTATTTTGATGTTCCAGATTATACATATTTTGTCTACATCTACTATTTCTAGTTAAAAAAAGTTAGAAAACATTTGTTATTCATTAGTAATTATGTTACTATTTGTATCGGTATTCTCATAAAAATCATATTTTATAAGAGATCAGTAACACATTTCGACTAATGGATGTAACGGACAACTAATGACAGTTAGTTTTCCTCATTTCACTTTAGTTACTATCAAAATCAGACTGTTTGACTAAACCCAAAATGGCCGTGTACTACGCCAACTACCATTTAGTAATTGACTACCACAACAAATAACAAATTCCTTTTTTGCCGAACAGTGATTTCTTACCACTTGTGACAGTTCGAATCAATTCCGTTTATTGAGTGTTTGGGTGTGAAAATGCTACTTACATAAAATTAAGTACATTGCAAAGACAAAATTAAGAAGACACAGTGTGTTATTTTGCAGGTCAACATAGGGTTAATAAGGAAAACCCAAGGTATATCCATGCACCTCATAATTGAATATCTTTTTTCCAATGTATTGTTAAGTACCAGTTGACAATCATAACCTTGGAAAGTCAGGCTTGACTTCACGTTCTTGAGCCAGTGGACTAAATATCACTCAAATCAACATACTCGTGCAATGGACGGGCAAAGTACACAGTTTCTCATCTAAGCTTATGGTGAAATGAGTCATATGGATGGACATCAATATTACAATACTAAGTTTCACAAACAATAAACAGTTCCAAACTTTATTAAAGTAGCTCGTCTTGAAAAACTCTGTTAACTGATATCAAATATGACTATTGCCTTATAAATTATTTCCTCAGTTATCTAATCTCTGATAGAAATTAATAGAATACAGTATACTTTAAAAGTGAAACTTAAAGATAGGTGTTTTGCAATTCAGTTATCATAAACCCATATTTAAAATGTGTATTTAGTCATCCACCCATCTTTCCACATCAGTTTGATACAAGTTTTCAAAATTAACACACTCAAGACGATTGACAAAGTTGACAGATAAGATGATATATCAATGTCAAATTATCAACTATCAAAATAGAAAGTAAAAGTGGATACATGCTGTCATTATTGGTGTGTTTGACTTCTCTCGCTGAGTGTTAAATGACTATTTTATTAGTGAATTCCCTGTTCTTTGTACAGCTAGATCATAAGAAGTATTACTTACTATGTTACCAGCTAATATATTCATGTTTTAAGAGCAATAAACACTTTCATTATTGATTTTAACTAAATAAGTATGAAAGTAAAACGTTTGAGTGAATATCCAGGAGTTATCCACTTTCCTTTTACTATCACGTAGTAAACAGGTCACCTTAGTCTTTTTTTACATAAAATGACTGGAACATGTTTAAGAGGTAGAATTTATCAAGTGTACATTGAACAAATGAACTGGAAACTTGAGGTTGATAAGAATTCAAAATGCAGTTTATTCTCACAATAATTTCACTTACTTTTAATACAGCCAGTACGTATAAGAAATCCATAATAGATTGAGGTTCATGAATACGATTAAATAAGTTAAATTGAAGTGTTCTGATTCTGTTGATCCCGAATTTCCCTGTAATTCGTTGTAATATGATGTCTTAAAAATAGTTGTTGTTTTAGTGATCATACGTACTCGGATTTTAGAAAGTATTCATATTTAATTTCTAAATCATTTTGAGTTTATAAGCAAAGATGGATAGTGGCTAGCAGTGGAATCCAGGATGCGCGTTTCGCCCTATCTGGGACTCGTCAGCTGGATGTACCTGCATCTCAGAGTTGACAACAGACTGATCAATTGCAGTCTTAAACCTCAATGGGAAGATACAAACAAGACAATACCAAGTGCATTTTGAGTTCAGTTTATAATCATCAGTGAAAATATATGCACAACAACAGAAATGTAACTTTGCATTTGCAAATATAACCACAAATGTAAACCAAAGTTTCTTCTTCGTCAACGGAATTTACATTGATTTTTAAAATTATGAGCATATCCATATCTGGTATAATTAGAATATGTGCTCCATATATTATATAAACTCGGAGTTTAACTCAATTTGAAAAGATTCTTGAATATTTTATCAGTGATAAATGTATACCCAAATGAAGTTAGTAATCACTGCCATTTACTCAATTTTGAACGTTCATTTAAATACCGTTTATCTGTTTCATACATAAATTAAATCCAATAGTTAAACAATTGTTTCAACCAGATTCTGAATTATGTTGGCATTTTGTAAAACTCTGTGAAATTGTTTACGTGTCTTTCTTATAGATAATTCAATACTTCCTCCTGACTACCCAACGGTCGTCACAGATCAACCATCGTCAAAAGTAACATTCAGTGATATACCAGTAACTTTACGTTGTCCGTCATGTGGACTAAATACTTTAACTACTTTGGAGTACAAAAATGGTTTATTAACTTACTTAGCTTGTGGTGGTATATTCCTAATTGGGTAAGTTAATATTTTATCTGACTGTAATCGATCTATGATTATTGACAAAGTTTAAGTAGAGGATTTTATGTCCACATTTAAAGGATTAAAGTAAATTGTTTCAACTTGATTAATTAAGCACTCTGTAGAATTACTGAGCAAATGTCAATCTTGTGTAGACAATATTTTGCACCAAAGCACACATTATTCATTAAGTTAGATAAAATATTCATATTTGATCAGAGCTGTCATTTATTTGTTTCGCGATTAGTTTGCAGAAAGGTAGGTTAATAAAACAAACAGGATTTCTGACTTAAACTTATGTTTGACACGATGACAAATTAACTCACTTCTATTATGGTGTTATTTAGTAGACATTGATGATAAATTTACTGCAATTATAGAAGATTATACATGAGAAACATGTGGATTTCAATGTTGAGGTTATTTCCTAGTTTAGATTCAGTTATGTTTTCATGTTAATATTCATTGACTTGATGTTAGCTGGTAATGACTGTCGTTTTCTAAGTGGATTGCTATTATGGTAATCTCACTAGACAAACATAAAAGAGTAATAGGATGTCCACAATTAACATAAAAGTTGAATAATAATGATCTACCATACACAAACACATTGACATGAGCACATTTGAACGTATTGTGTTTTGTGTTTGGAGTTAGTCTCGGAGTAATAATAATTAAAGTACAAATTGAAAAGTGTTCTTAAAACATCAATGTGTATGTAAATGAGAAAAATCAATAGCATAGTTGTGATGTTAAAATATTCAAATTACTTTCGTACTTTCGTACCATTATTTCAACTTTTAATGAACAAAATAATTAACGTGTTTTATGTAGTAGGCAGAAACTGCATCTATTTACCAAATATTAATTATGAATAACATAAAGGTACACATACACTCACATTCATTGTTTTTCACACTGTAAACTGTTCGCATTATTCACATCTTACTGACTCACACTTACTTACTTGCTAAAAATCAATATCTGAATAGGGTTGGATAAGTGTTTTGTGATTTCATTCTTTGATGATTTTGATTATTTCACTGAAGAAATTCAGACAAGACTCTTGGATAAAATGTTAGAATTACTTAGATTTCAAATGATATAGATGGAGTAGTATACGTTGAGTAGAGTAATTATAACCAGAATTCTTATTGGCTAATCTAACGGTAATCACTGTTGATTTCGATATCATAACAAATATAGTTTCTTCTTGGTTTAATTTACTAGCACTGGGTTATCGAAAATTATCCAATCAGACTGCTCCTATTTGATCCTGTCTCCATGATGAATCAGTCAAGTCTCTGCTTCTAATATAACTAGGGTTTACGATATGTCGGTCTTTATGTGAAAACAATTTGTCTTTTGAAAATGTATGGTTTTGAGAATGAAATGTATTTTTTAGTAAAGAGGACTCTTGGCTGAACCAATAGTTTTGTGTGTTAGTCACAGTGTATTTATTTCGTTTATTTGAAAATTTTAATGGTTTAGTTTTCATAGGATGGTTCAATGCTATGATACTCATCATTAAGAAAGTAAATAAACTGAGATAAAATTGTATGAAACATTTCAGCTAATCCTTGTGAGAAACAAAATGAATAAAATATTTTGAATGTAAGTGACTTGAAAACAGATTCACAGTCAGCTGAGTAGTGATAGTATCTTCGATTACTCGATTATTGAAACCTTGAAAGTTGATTGTAACCTGATTACAGGTTCCCTGATAGTTTGATGATTGAGTCTATTGGATAAATTTTGTATATATATTCATCATTGGATTGAAGATCCTTAATATTCCCTTTGATCTGACTATATATTTATTCGAGTAAAATGGTCAGATAACAAACGAATTATTGTCAGATAATTTTTTTGTAGGATGAAGTCGATGTAAGAGTTTAGTTGAAACTATGCAACACAACTATGATTAGATACATTTTTTTGGTCAACCTCTTACTTTATGTAAGAAATCAATTTTCCTATTGACGTTTTATTTTTCTCACTTTTGTTAATCCTTCATTTTGATGGCTTTAAAATAAACAAACACCTAATGTGGTTACTTGTACTACATAGGCTGTTCTATTAAATCGTTTACATACATGAACTACATAGTCATACAGCTCTTTCGAAATGTGCATCGGTTGTTCTGTTTCCTGCAAATTTAAATTAAACACAGTGGTTGGTATTAGGACAACTTATTCAAGAAACATTTTGCATAAACAAATCAGGATTGATATATATGGAATGCCATTGTATATGATATATATTCTACAGTAATAACATTACTTTGTTTGAATATCTACTAACAGTTTAATACAAATCATTTTTATTTATTATACATTTTGTGTAGTGGAGTTTTAGGTTGTTGCCTTATACCATGTTGCATGGACAGTTGTAAAGATGTGAATCATATATGTCCACATTGTCGACGTGCCGTGGGAACCTACCACAGATTGGGAAACTGAACGTTCAATACGATAAGAGAAACAAAGTCAACCAATGATAATTAATTCCTATTTCACAAATAAACATAAAGTTCTAATATACTTACAATGTTAAAGTTAACTTTTCTTTTAATCTTGGTTTATGTTGTTAATAAGTTATTTTACGTGATTATTTATTTCTCTTCATTCCTTTGAATTTCTGTTAATTAAATTGTAAGGGCATTTTGTTTAATCAGATGTTTATGGATTAAAATAAAATCGTTAATGTTGGAATGGCCTTTAAGCTAATGTTAGCTTGAATAAGTTCATATGTTAAAATGAAAACAAATATAGGTAACATATAGTGAGAGGAATAACAATGTAGTTCAAATCGTATAAAATGTTTAGTGTAAGACTATGTAATGTATGAAGTTATATGAATTTAATAAAAAAAATCATAGTGTGGCTCGAGTGCCAACTAAATAACTTCTCTTCAGAAAACTAATAGTAATGTTGAAACAATAATAATGGTAGTAGCAATACAAGGAATAATAAAAATAGTAATGATCATAATATAAAGATATGTGAATAAAAAAAACAAAGACAATAATTATCAGCTTTCAGGGGTTGTGGAAATTGTTAAGTTTTTGATTGAGATCATAAACCGATTGATGTTAGACCATCATTGAAAAGCTGGAAGCAATGAACGGCCGTTTCGTCCTATTGTGCGACTCCTCAGCAGTGCGAATCCACGATCCCGCTCGCGAGATTCGAACCCAAGCCCTCAGTCTCGTGTGCGAACGCTTAACCTACTGGACCACTGAGCCGGCATCCAATGGTGTTAATGTCTAACGCCAACCAATCCACGAAACCGCGCGACCATCTTCTATTGTACTGAGGTAGATACCTGTCTCCCACAATAGGACGAAACGGCCGTCCAGTGTTTCCAGGTTTTCAGTTGTGGTCTAACATCAATCGGTTCATGATCTCAATCAAAAAACAATAATATTTGACCAAGAAAAGTTGTGTGTATATAGATCGAATCAAGTGATTCTATAGTTAAGGCTATCATTGATTTACTGGTCCTAAGGTTGGCCAAGGTAATAGAAATGGATGAGTATATATCTTTAGCTCATATATTCCCGATGTCTTGGTTTGAATGACTATTGTATTAGCCATTTGGAGGACCGACTTTGACTGAAAATTACTAACCCAATAAATTACTGAAAATCATTAACCTATACTGGCTCTATGACCAATATACACTAAATAGGTTAGTATTGAGGTGTTTACTGTCTTGACTACACCTTTGCTCAACTAAACTGGTAGATGTTCACGAATACGAATATGTAAATTCTTAGAACTTCGGTCAATATAATTTGCTCTACAAAAGTAATCGGATTCATAATTAATTCCAGATAATTCATGTTTTCACCTCTAAAATAATATTGGGTGGGTAGGAGGTGATAGTCAAAGCTTTCCGGCGTTTAGTGTTTTTTGGGTTTTCCTACGTAGTCTTTGAGTCAGTATTTCATTGGATGATTCAATTATGAATTCCGCGTACATGAATAGGGGTTTGTTATCATCTACTTTTACTTCTCCTACTTTAACTTTCATGGTCATATATCTGTTTATAAACTTCCCAGGGTATTCATTCTACCTAATGGTAATACATAAGGAACTCATTTCCTCTTCAGAAATATACGTAGGATATACAGTGCGTATTCCATAATTGAGAGCTTTCATCAGGGTTTTTTTGTGCTGTAGACATACGAAGATAAGGAAATTTGTGTACTGCTCAGTTCAAGTAATTTTGCTGTTCGAACTTCCGTCTCATTGACTTGTAGGGTCAGTGAAATGTCACTGAGTCCTGAGCTAATCGCAGGACACGGACTAGCCTATGCGGTGGTGCTCACACTGTCTTCATTGTACCTACTCTTACCAGTATATTTCTGTAGAAATGGTCCTTTGTGTTGTACGGTCGTCAAAGCAGCTTTAGTACGCTGACATGACGAAAGGGTAATCCACGTTAGTTTCTAACGGCGAGGTGTGACTTAGAAGTTAACTGGTTCACCGCACCATCCCCGTCTAATTTGAATAGGCTACCAATCATTCGACACAGATCATCTACGTTAATGATCTACAGATTCATCAGCTCTTTTTATAAATAGAACGTCCAAATGGGATATCCTAATTTCGCATTCATCTTCGTATGTCAACCTGATGACTTGATGTACTTCACTAGAGTACATAGGAACCTTTAGTTTGAATGTGCTATCTTTATATATGATGAATGTATTATCCAAATATTGATAGTAAAATGTGAACGTTTTCATAAACTGTTTAAATGGAACACATAGTTTAGCTAGAAATATGTCAGCTAATATGGAACTCAATGGTGAACTCACTGTAACCCCGTCCACTTACTCATACATTTCGTCATCAAACTTGTCGAACCCTGAATATCCGTGACATTCTTTAATGTGATGACGATTTTTAAACATTTATAACCATATGTTTTATGGTGACATGTATATTCAGTGGTTTTTTAACGACAAAATCAAAACCACATTTTTTCTCTAATTTGTCACACTTTTTATACGTTACCACATTTTTGTTCAATATGGATTGTTTTTGTGTATTAATTGTTAAAAAACGATTATAATTGTCTGGGTATACACATACTGATATACTACCGCGTTGGTTGAAATATAAAACGCTATCTCCGTCGTCTGTTCTTCTGCTTTATTGGCCACGGTCTGTGATTGAAGACTATAGTAATGTTATAACGTTCTTTTGTGCCTTCCTACACTACGTTGGATTTTTGGCCCGGATTATTATTAAATAATACTATTGGATTCAATCTTGCTCATTACGCCGTTGGTGCCACCACGTGCAGAGGAGTCTTTATTAATCAAGTGAACTCATTTGTGGTTGTTATCTCATAACAACTGTCATTATCTTGTTGTTTATTATGCCATTTGAATTGTTACTGTAATCTGTTACCTTTTGTTTTACTCAGAGACAGACACCTAGGGTTTTGGTGTTAACTCTTTTGGTATATTATTGACAACCTCGCGTATTGTTGTATTTTGAATAAGCTCTTTTGCTGGGATCCATTACAGTTTCTATTTATCAATTTTAACTTTATAAAAACCTCAATTCCTCGTCTGCTTCGTTTAACAATACTGAATATGGTAGTAATTGTTTCATAGTGATGTGTGGGTGAAAATGATAATGATTGGTAATTTGCTTAGGCAGACATGTGGTTAGTCTGACAGGTGTTAGGTGGATTATATATTCCCCTATCCTTATTATTACTGATTATTGATTGTTGCTGGATTGTGTCGGCTTGTTGTCAGTTTTTGGTGTGGAAATATATTTACGTTCTAGTCAGGCTAATCACGTGTTCTTGATCTGAGTTGTGTTGATGTCCTGTAGAATGGACACTGAGAGGGAATCTAATGTAGACATTCGTCTAACGTCCCATACGTTTAGACGAAGTAAACCCGAGCGTTATAACACATAGTGTGGATATTTTCACCAACCGAAATTTAAATGATTTATCCTATTTAGATATTCACAACATGATGGTTTAGTGTACCAGTAAGGGGCTATTCAGTACTATTGATTTAATCTGTACAAATGACAGTATAGAAGAAAAAGTGATGCTACTAAACGAAATATTGATAGAGAATAGATATCTTCCAAAAATCATAAACCCATGGTTAGGTTATAGCATGTTGATACTTACTATGCTTTTGGCATTCAAAACTCCTGTTCATATCACTCTATCATTCAAAGTTGAGTTAATCAGACTAGTGTTGAAACTAACGCCTAGTCTGTTGTCCATAGGATATACTATGAGCCGAAACCCACCATCATTGAGAAAGGATCTATGACTTACCCAAAACCTAAACAACATGTTGAAAATTGATTTACATCCCATAGTTTTCACTAATTTACATGTATGTGGACACATATAAATAGGGAGGAAGAATCATGATTTGCAAATTGAGGCACCCGAAAGGGCTTCAAAAATAAATAAGAATCCAGTCACCCAATAGGAGCAGATGACACGCACACAACTTTTTTGTAGCCCGTTGGATCTGACTCCATTTGTTATCACCTTTTCTCGTATATCATCGTCGACTTAAATCGCGAGAGAATATAAACTTTGAACTTTGTTCAGCATAATCGGCAAACCGTTTGTTCCCTGGAATCTGCGTCTGAGAAGTAGGAAAGTAATAATGATGACGCAAAAGTTCGGTTCGTGTCTTTCTTTTTCAAACTGAAGAGTGGACGAATTTAGTCACCAAAAATTGAGGCCATTGAAAAGTAATAAAAAGAGTGATTACTCTCGCTACCAAGGCGTCTTAAGCGAACGTTTAGCGTTCTTTTGGAAGAGAGCTGAACGTGTCGTTAATATCACCCGTGGTGCTGAATTTCATAGTTAAGTGATATTATAACGAAAGTCTACATAAACTTTTGTGCGAGCTCAATAGTGGTCTGTTTTATACAGACGTCCCCTTCGGTGTAATTTGCAGCCAAATGAATCAATGATTCGCTAGGTTGAGGGGGATCGTCAACAATATGATACATAATGATCGTATAATGACAACTTCCAGACAGTACGGACTACCGATTTACATCTCCTAGGAGAGCGCCTGCTGAACCATTTCTAGGAGAGTGAAACTACTCTTGAAGTGGAGAGTGACAACCCTGTAGCTCTCCTAGATGAGATCTTAGGTGAACACTAAAAACAGGTTCAAACTGTTCCCGAGTCATGCTACCTAATGTTATAGAAAGAAAGACCGTGACGTCCAAAATATCATAAAAAGTGTCGCTCAAGTCCTTAACTGTAATGAGTAATATGGTGGCGGAATCTCCGAGGAGCTATGCGGTTAGCAAAGTATCACTTCCGCTCACCATTGATGTCCTGAGTTTAGTGGTATTAATGGTATAGCGACATGTAAATTCAGCAATTTCGCAACGAAAAAACGAAGACAACGTTCATTTATTTATTCTTCCTTCATTTACGACTAGCATACCTCCGCCGACGTACGCCCCAAAG